TGTAGTATAATAAAATGTGACTAGAGATTATTTATTTTTAATATTGAGTTGGACTATACAGGTATAATGATAATAAAACTGAAGCAGGTTATTGCAAAGAACTTGTAAATAGGTTATTGCAATTTTTTACAAATGTTGACTCTCATGTAGTATAGTAAAATGTGACTAGAGATTATTTATTTTTAATATTGAATTGGACTATACAGGTATAATGATAATAAATTTGAAGTAGGTTATTACAAATAACTTGTAAATAGGTTATTGCAAAAATTAATATATATATAATTTGGCAGGGGTTTACATTTTTTTACAAAAGAGAAGGCAAGAATCTGTATTTTGGAGTTAAATTCCCACCAATGCAGACTTACAAGAGTCGAAAATTATTATCAGAGCTGTGTAGTATTTTTTTTTTCTTCTTTCGCTAATGCGAAAAATGAGCAAAATGAATGAAATACAAACCTATGGACAATCATCACCAAAGGAACAAACTATACCAAGAAATTTCAAATAACTTGAAGTGTAGTTTCAGATCAAGATAACATGCAAAATGGTTGAAATTATTGGTTCAATTATTAGAACTAACATTCTACATTTTCGCTAAAGCAGTTGCTTCTGTAATTACACTTTGGTTATATATATATATATATATATATATGTTTGTGTGTTCAAATTTCAATAAATTTATTAAAAATATATAGACTATTTATATAGAAATAAATTTATAAATAAATTTAAAATTTATAAAAATAAATTAAAAACAATGATAACCAAACATATTTTTTATTTATGTTTTATTTTGTTTACAACAGTTGGAGTTACCAAACATGTTTTGTTTTTAAAATTCTTGAAACGCATGACTTACCAAACGTGTTTTGCATATTTTTGTCTCCGACATTTTTACAGCAAAACATCGTTCCCAAACGTGCTTCCGATTTTTGCCAAAACACTCTAATAGTAAAAACGCTATTTCTGTTTTAACCAAAAACAAAACGCCTAAAGTAAAACGCATGCCAAACGAGCCCTAAGTAAGGCATTTCCCCCTACCAGTTCCTTGAGAAGTCACATAGTCAAAACAGTAAATCAACTCTACTCTATTTTGACACCTAAGTTATTAGCGATCAGAAACATATTCCGTCTTTTTGTGAACACTTTAGCTGTCATCGTCGAAGCGGCGGGTCACGAGTCGGCACCGAGTTGGTCGAACGAGTCAGAGAATGAAGACATGATGGTTTAGAAATCAGAAATGCTCGTTCATCATTTGGTTTGTTCGCTCTCGCACTATTGAGTATGATACTGAAAAATTGATGGAATGTGCTCTTTTTCAATTCATTTAACGAAAGGGAATTTCAATTAATTTGATTTTTTTCTTTTAATAATACGTCACACACACACAACACGCACTCTGATGGTCTATTTTAGAGAGAGAGAAAGGTTGAAGAAGAAGAAGAGAAGAAGAGAAGAAGTGAAGGGTATCTTTATAATTTAATAAAATAAATTTTAGTTTTAAATTTAATATTAAATGGTAATGTCAAATTTGTCATTTAACAGCGGATACGGTTATTAGGGGCAATGTGAACATTTTTTTAAAATATAAGAGTTTTTATAAACATATTAGAATTTTGGGTTAAATACAGTCACACCCTTGAGGCTTGACAAAATGACACTCGGATGAAACTTACCTATTTTTTGAACAAAGACACCCCTGAGGGTTCAAAAATGGACAAAGACACCCCTTTACATGAGAAATTGACCAAATTATCTTTTGACCGTTTAGGAGACTTTTTAACTTTACAATTTAATAAATTGGACCAATCTACCCTCATGAACAATTTATGCATAAAAAAAAAAAAAAAAAAAGTAACAAAAAAAAAACTTTATATTGTTCACTTTTTTTTTTTTTTTTTTTTTTTACTTTTTAAATGTCCCAACTTCTTAAAAATATAGACGTCAAAAATAATTTTTTGATCCAATACATATATTTCAAATAAATTATATTTTGTTATTACTTCTTTTCTTTTTCTTTTTTATTTTTAAATTAAGATGTTTAATTCTTTCATCTAAAAAAATTAAACCAATATCTTTTTCTTAAAAATAAAAAATATGGTACCAGTATAACTTTATGCATCTTAAATTATATGTCAAATATTATGCAACTCTCAACATAAAAGGGAAAAATAATAATAATAAAACAAAGGGAAAAAAAAATAGTAAAACAAAGGAAAAAAAAAAAAAAGAAGTAGTTAAGATGCATAAAGTTATACCAGTACCTATTTTATTTTATATTAAGAAATGCATAATATTTGATATATAATTTAAGATGCATAAAGTTATACTGGTACCATATTTTTTATTTTTAAGGAAAAGAGATTGGTTTAATTTTTTTAGATGAAAGAATTAAGCATCTTAATATAAAAATAAAAAATAAAAAGAAAAGAAGTAATAACAAAATATAATTTATTTGAAATATATGTATTGAATTAAAAAACCGTTTTAGATGTCTACTTTTTTAAGAAGTTGTGACATTTATAAAGTAAATAACCAAAAAAAAAAAAAAAAAAAAAGTTAACAATGTAAAGTTTTTTTTTTTTACTTTTTTTTTTATGCATAAATTATTCATGAAGGTAGATTGGTCTAACTTATTAAATTGTAAAGTTAAAAAAGTCTTCTAAACGGTCAAATGATAATTTGGTTAATTTTTTATGTAAAGGGGTGTCATTGTCCATTTTTAAACCTTCAGGGGGTGTCTTTGTCCAAAAAATAGGTAAATTTCATCTGAGTGTCTTTTTGTCAAACTTCAAGAGATACGGCTATAATTTATCCTAGAATTTTATTATCAAAAAATGAATATAGCGGGGGTTTATAATTTTAGCCCTATTTATTTTTACAAGGAACACTAGTTTACCCTTTACTTTATAAATAAAGATGCTTAGAATTGGTGCCATCAATTGCGACATTTAAATATGCGAAATGTCTAGTATTGAATCAAGGAAGACATATAGAGACAATAAATCAAACACGTATGAAGCATGTTTGAGAGTAGACTATTACATGTATGAATTATGAACTAATTTTGATTCCATGGGAAATCAAATGCCCTAGCATGGAAGATCTTGCTATATTCTTGAATTATAGATGGTTAGATTCACTCAATTACATGAATAAAATACCATCAAGTCATCTACTTCGTTAACTAGAGCATAGGGCTAGGGCTATAAGTTGGGCAGGCCTAACCCAGTCCGGTCCCAACCCGACCTAAATTTGTAGTCGGGTTGGGTTGGGCTGGCCCAATGTCATAAAAAATTGGGCTCTGTCAGTAACTCGGAATATAATATTTTCAGGTTGGACGGACTGACTCGTTCAGCCAGGTCCCCCTCCTCATTTTTTCCTTTTTTTCTTCTGTGATTTAGAAGGTAAAAAATAAAAAATATTGGAATTTTTTTTAATTTTGGGTTTTGAGTTGGGTTGGGTTGGGTTCGAGTCGAGTCTAACCAGAACACGCCTGGGTTTTGAGACTCAAAACCCAACTCAATTTGAGCCTAATTTGTAAATTTAAAAGCCCAGGTTTCTAAATTTTGAGTTTGGGTTGGACTGGATTAGTCCGCCCAAGTTGCATCCCCACCACAAAGCAGAAATCCCATTCGGCAAGAAACTGGTAGCAGGGTGACTTAGTTAATTTGGAATTTAATGTCTCACAATTCCCTATATATGTATAAGCATATACAAAAATTTAAATGGATCTTGTAGAAGACTAGTGGAAGATTGGAAAGACTTACAGATATATGTGCATATATATGTTCTTGGGTCATATGGATAGCAAAATGATCATATAAATCGTACATGTAGATAGTTCAGACATGCCCAAAAGCAAGTGGGTTCAGAAAATTTATTCAAAGAAGCAGACTATGGTCATATAAATCATACATGTAGAGAGAGAAAGAGAGAGAGAGGGAGAGAGGACTTGCACTGTTGAGGAAATTGTTCAAGTTACTTGGAGCTTGAGTTCCCATGTCGCTTTTGTGGAGAACCAGAGGAAGTGGAGAAACAGAGGAATGGTAAAAAGAGTACAAAGGGGGTAGACCAAAAAGAGTTTAAGAGCTTGTTTGGTTTATTTCTTCAGAACCATTTTCTGTTTTCAAAGTCCTATTAATTTTTTTTTTTTTTTTTTTTTTGGGTAAAGTGAAGAAATTGCAAATTTGGGGTTGAGAGAAAACCCTGTCATTTTTTCAAATGAGCAAATAAAGAATTTGAATGTTAAAATACTTAAAATGTCTTTAAGACAACCAAAAATAATAATAATAATAATAATAGTAATAATAATGATTTTTATTTTTAAGGATATTATATATAGAATAATGCTTATCTACTCACTGGTAAGTAGTTTCATCCTATTCACTCCTTGTGTGTTCCAATAACAATTTATCATATCAGCTTTTATAACAAAATAACTCATATCCTTATATATATATATAGGTTAATGGTTCAAACCTCAGTGGAGACAGTGTGTGTGAGTCCCAATAAAATATATATATATATATATAATAGCATTGGTGTCAAAATTGAGGTCTTGTGATCAAAACTTTTCGACATTCAAAGAATTATTCAGGGGAGTATCATTCTCGGATTTGTTGGCTACACGTGGTTTGACAAAAAATAAATAAATAAAAAGAGAGAAGAAAAGAAGGGTAGAAGAAAGCGAAATACCTTTGAACTCTTTAAGGAGAACTTTGACCTGTTAGTACACACACAGATTATACAAAGTCTTCATCGAAGGTGACACTTTTTTAAGAAATTGACCATTGCTAGTGCCGGCTAAGACCAACGGGCTGCCATTATAGTGTTAATTTCAAGGAGGAAAAAAAATGGAGAAGAAAAATGATGCAGTTGAATGGTTCAAATCATTTAAATATCTTTTATCGTAGGTCGAATATTTGCACTCCAGATGATATCAATTAAGAAGAAACAAATTTTATGGAAATAAATAAATAAAGAAGAAGCAACAATAAGTGAAGTCTTCTCTTTATTCAATAACATATGGAAGCCCCCATAGCATTGTTATATATATATATATATATTTTATCACATGAACTAATTAGCATTATAGGCTCACACTGAAACTGGAAATTAATTCAAGAATGGATGGCTTTGCCAAATTTAAAATGACCATCCAATGCTTTCTCTGCCTTCTTGTCATAATATCTTCTTATTCACAATTATAAGCTATAGGAATCACACAGAGATCTCTTTCCTTACAAACTGCTGCACCAAACGCCTCAGTCATGTCTAAATCTTCAAACTTCTCTCCCCCAGGAAGCTTCCAGTCAAAATGATACAATAAATTTGCAAGCGGAAGCTCAACATTAGCTACCCCGAATGACATCCCGGGACAGATTCTCCTCCCAGCACCAAATGGTAGATATTGAAAATGAGTCCCCTTGTAATCAATTGAACTGTCAAGGAATCTCTCTGGAACAAAGCTCTCTGGATCACTCCAATTTTCAGGATCTCTACCAATTGCCCATACATTGACAATAACTTTGTTTTTCGCAGGTATCTCATATCCATTGATTTCACATTTCTTACTGTTCTCTCTTGGAATTAGTAAAGGGAGAGGAGGGTGTAATCTCAGAGTTTCTTTGATAACTAACTTCATATAACTCAATTCAGGGATGTCATCATCGGTAATGATTTCATTTCCTTTTTTACTTAAAACCTGTCTCACCTCAGCTTGTGCCTTCTTCATAACTCTTGGGTGTTTCAGCAATTCTGCAAGTGCCCACCCTAAAGTATTTGATGATGTCTCAATCCCGCCAATGAACATGTCCTAAAAGAACAGAGAATATAGAACAATATCATTACATATTAAACACAATGTGGATGTTGGTGTTTGAAGGTCAAATGTTTAAAACTGAAATTTAGAGGAACTTAATTCATTGTTAATATTGATAGAAACAGAAAGAAAAATGTACTAACCAAGATAACTGACTTGACGGTTGTGGTACTTAAGGGGATCTCAAGATTACCCTCCTCCTGAAGTTTTAGAAGAACATCTACCAGGTCTTCATGATCAGCTTCACCATTACGGGTCTGTTTTCCCGCCTTCCTAGCTTTTCGGTCATCAATGATGGTGGTCAACGTCTTGTCAATTTTTTGATGAACCTTGTCAACTTTAGACCTCAGTCCAGTTATCACAGCCAGCATTTTAACTGAAGGATAGAGGTCAGCAGCATTGAAACCTCCTCCCAACTCTATGGTTTCCTTGATAAGTGAGATGAATTCTTCTTGCCCCTGGAATTTCTTACCAACGGCCGCCTTTGCAGTGATGCTGTATGTCATGTTGAAAAGCTTTTCAGTGAGATTGACCACAGATCCTGTATGCGTCGAAACAGATTCAAGCAAATTGGAGATCTCTTCTTCCCTGATGGGTCGAAATGTTTGGACACGCTTGGCACTTAAAAGCTCCAGTATGCAGAGTTTTCGGAGTTGCCTCCAGTAATCCCCATAAGGTGCAAAGGCAATGTCATTCTCAATTATGACACTTACAGCAAGAAGAAAAGGCCTGCTAGCAAACACAATGTCATGTGTTTTCATCACCTCCTTCGCGGTTTCTGCAGAAGAAATGACAATAATAGAAAGTTCTCCGAGTCGCAGGTGCATCAGAGGTCCATATTTCTTGGCCAAGTCTCTTAGGCGGCGATGGGGTAGAGCTCCAACAAGTTGGGGAATGTTTCCTATTAGAGGTAGCTTCCATGGCCCGGGAGGCAGTTTTGGAGATGAACTGATCATGGTTTTGAATAGCATGAACAGAAAGAGCAGGGATGTGAAAATCATTGGGAAGGAGAGGAATGGGAACTCCATCATCAATTGCAGAGCCGTGCTCGAGAGTTCACTAGTCTCGGTGGTATGATTGCTTTCCATCCTGATTTAAGCTTGCTGTGGAGGCTTGAAATTCTGCAAGATACAGAATTTTCAGTTTTCTTTTCTAGGACGTATGCATGGTTTCTTTGTTTTATAAAAAAAGATGCTTTAAGTTGATGCCATTATTTGCTACAAATTGAAAATAATGACATTCATGTTTGTTTGTTGTATCTTTATGCTGTTTCAACATCTCAAGAACTCAGCAAGGAATCGAATTCAAATATTTATAACACAATTAAACTTCAACCAAGTAGAATATTCCATACACACAAGGTGAATCACATATTAATTAAGCCTTTTGAAACCACTTCATTGCAAGTTTTTTAATTACATGTAATAATATATATTTTTTTCTAGAACAACCAAATGTTACATGCAAATTAGGATGAAAACGGGGAAGAGAGTCACTACTTAAGATCCATCAATTGTTACCAAAAAAAAAATACAGGCAAACCACAAACGCAATCAAGAATTGACTGAAAACAAAAACAAAATCACACAACACCTCAAAACACAAAAATCTAACGTGGATAGGTGTGAGATGGAGCTTGTTTCACATCTGATCATGACGGTCAAGGTTTGCAGCACTTTGCTTAAACCTTTGGTTTAGAGGGCAAGCACTTAGCTTGTTACTTGGAATCAAAGTCGGTTATTGATTCAGTATCACACCCACTCAAGTGGAGTAGGTGATCCGATCGCAAGAAAGGTCGTTGCAAGTTTGAGTTGGGAATCACTTGGGGCCAGATGGGTCCTGTTGTTAGGAGAGACGGGTAGGTAGGTGGTCCGATAGCAAAGAGAGCATTGCGCATTCAAGTGGAAAATCACTTGGGCCATATCTGTCCTTTTGTTAAGAGAGACTGGGTGGTCAGACTGCAAAGAACTACACTTGCAAGTTGGGTGACAAGGAAACACTTGGACACAAGATAAAGATAACGTACAGAGTTATGAAAAATGAATGTATCTTCGGCTAGATCAAGAGAGAGAAACGTACAGAGTTGGGGATCTCGAATCCCAATCTCTCGGTGTATTCCTTTTTAATTTTTTTTCACACTTATTAGCAAGAAAACGCGGAACAGATCAATTACTTAAGCTCCACACGACAAGCACCGAAAAAAAAAAAAAAAATCATACGCGATACAAAATACAAAGATTTGATGTTATTTGATTTATCAAGACCAACATATAATGGTCAATATCAGCAAACAGTTTTCACTAACGCAAATAAATAACGTGATAACAAATCTCTCAAATCCTACACTTATTTAGACTTGAGAGTTCGAATTTTTGTATTTTGCTTTCTTTTCTCATGATGATGAAAATTAATAATAAAATAAAAAATAAAAATTACTTATAAAAAAAAAATGCACGCATGTCCAGGGGAAGAGAGAGAGAGACTTACAGAGTTGGAGGTATATAGATGTATTGAGTTAGAGCTCGAATCCCATGTCTCTTCAGTGTAGAGTGGAGAGAAACAATTAAAAATGAAGCAGAGAGAACAAAGCCTGTGACTTAGAGACAACTTTGCCCACTACTTATAGAGAGAGTTTAGATAGAGTGTACAAATTGTTGTCTTTTTTATTATTTATTATTTATATTTTTTTTTGGATGACTATACATGCAAAGTTATAAAGAGAGGGTTAAAATAGAATTTAGTAGTAATCAGTCCCTCTTAGGCTCTTAGCCCCGTCCAACCTACTACTGTTTGAAATTTCTTCATTTGGTCAAGGTTCAACAAAATACAACCACGTGGTAGAAAGAAAGAACCAAAATAATAATAAGAATAATGTAGAATATAACCAACTGCTATGTATCCAACGCTATCCACAGTGCCATCACCAAGTTGTATGAAGATGATATCATTGGCCAAGAAAATGTTGATTGTTGAAGCTTAAAAAGAGTTATCTTCTTTTACACAATTGAAAAAGGGTGTCCACTCAACTACTGTAGAGAAATGAAGAGAAATAGTTGGTGAGAGTCAAAGGCTGCTAGTGTGCATTGATTGTGTCAACTTATTGAATGTGTATATTTTGGTGTGTTTGTGTGTGTCAGTTGCATAAGAAAAAATAATAGTTTGCAGCGCCAAATGGTTGACGTGAGGAGAGTCTTTGCAATATATTGTCTCAAAATAAATAACTCTATATCTCACAAATCACAATTTTTTAAAAAATTATTTATTTTGAAACAGAAGTAATAATATAATAATATAATTTTATGCGATTATTTTCTTAATATAAAATTTTCATAGAATTAATGATTCTGGATTATTTAATAATATATATATACTTTTTTTTACTATGAGAGCAATTTTACAAGAAATATTTAGTTGGCTTAGGATTAATAGAAAATTATTTCCGGATAACTGCAAAAGAAAATTTTTAACTGATTTGGGGGCTACACGTCATGATGCTAAGGGTTTGCTGTAAAACAATTCTTTCTTTTAAAAAATATAAAACTATTTTCAAAAAAATTATAAAACATAATTATATAAAAATAGATATTTTTATAACTGAGTTTTTAATAAACAATTTTCAGAAAACTGAATCAATCATAATTTTTTTTTGTATAGTTTTATAATTTTCTAAAATTAAAAAATGTTTTTTTTAAGTGATAAACCATGGAAGCCATAAATCTTTAAACTTTATTCAGATTTTTAATAATATAGCATGATTTGATTGGTTAAGGTCGACCATATAATTTCAGATTACTTCAGACTTTGTAGCTTGACTAAAATTCCAGTTGCAATGAAGACTATTATGAAGTACATCAGGCAGAATGTAAAGAGTGAAGAAAAAGAGACATGGACAGCGAGAAAAATATATAGAGATAAATGAATAAAGTTTAAACATTTAGTATCATGGCATGTTGTTAATTTTTTTTTTTTTTCTCTGTAATTACTCAAGTTTTGGAGATGACTTAAGTAAAATTCCCTGCAATGTTATCTTAATGGTGAAATTCGGTCGGTTTGTCTCTTGTTATTTGCCTTTCGATTTTTTAAAACTTTTTTCACATTGAATTTTGGTGTCCCTAATTTTCATTTTTTTGCACTTTTTTTATTTCTTGTTAATCAACTTGACAAATTTATATCTTAGATTATTTTTATTCTTAAACTCACATTGTCTTGTTTCTTTTATCAACAAGTGGTGTCAAAGTCAATGTTCTTAATTGTTAAGTGATTGTTGTGTGCAGTAGAGATGGAAGATAGACCGGTGTTATTATCACATTAACAACAACTAATTATAATTAAAAAAAAATTGAAGATATTTTTTTTAAAAATAATTCTTATATCGAATGGTTGCACTGATTTATTAGATTTATTTTTTTAATTAGTCAATTATACAACAAATAAAAAAGTAAAACCCTCCACTTAATTGTATTTAATATAAATAATTAATTAAAAATTATTCTGTAAGTATAACTATTTTTTTTTTTTTAAAGTTGTAAAGACATACGTTTCTATTAATGACAATGATAATAAAAGTGGCAAAGATTAATATATATATATATATATATATATATGAAAGACTGGAAGATTTATTAGATAATTTTGATATGCAATTTTGTGCGGCCAATTTTAGTCCAGTCCAATGTGAGACTCTTAGAAATTCCTAAAGTTTGTTTAAGGTTCAACAAAATACAGCGACGACGTAGAAAGAAACAAAAAATAATAAAAATAAAAAGCAAAAAAACAAAACAGAATACAACAAAATTCAATAAATCTTACGTTGATCAACTGCGCCATCACCAAATTCAATAATATCTTGCGTTGCATTGTTGAAGATAAAATCATTGACCATTTGAATCTTACAAAGACTTTTCTTCAATTACACAATTCAATAAGGGAAGAGTCATTTGTGGGTCCAGTTGTCATTAAGTTTGGAATTTATCTTAGGAGGGCATCTCGCAATAGTAATGTTTTTATTTAATATTTTACAATTGTCTTCCATGAATTTTCATATTAAGCAAGATTTTTATATAAATTAATTAAAAGAATTGTGCATATATTTAAGTAGCACAATTATACAGTAAATAAATAAATAAATAATTAACTAAATCTACCACTGTCTCTTACTATTGCCATTATGAATTTTTAAAAAAGTCAAACTTAGAAAGTCCTTAGTTCCTTACTTGCACCAAATAAAAATTAATAAATGAAACTTTTCTTTAAATTTTAGTTAAATTCTTCTTAAATAACAAAATTAATTGATATTTAGATTGAACCAATAAAATATAAGGTAAAGTGCAAAAAACACCCCTCAAGTATGTTTATAATGCATATCACACCATTCCCGTGTAAAAAACACCCCTCGAGTTTCAATTTGGTGCAATCAAGTCCCTCTGACATATTAAAACCAAACTTGACTAAAATACCCTTAATTAACAATTTTATAAAATATATAAAAATACAAAATTTTGTAAAAAGACCAAAAAAAAAACAATAAACATTCTTTAACAAACTCCCTCTCCCTTACCCTCTCCAAATGCGGAGAGTTGCATAAAGGGGGTTCACCTTGCTGGTTCAGTCAATATTACAGATACATCCATATCCATGGGTGGTGAGCTTCAATATATACAAACATAGAAAGTTAGGAGTTCAATAGAATTAATTTTATAAGATAATTTGTACTCTTTGTGCGTTGTATAAAACCTATTAATAGGCCTCTTGAGTTGTTTACTTTTAAAGATGGAATTATATGAATAAATTTTGAAATCTCTCTCTCTCCATACTCTTTCTTCTCTAGTCCATCTCTATCTCTTATCTTATATTCATGAGGCCTGGAACTCGAGTTTACATACAATCTGTTTCATGTCCATCATCTTATCCTCATTCCTCTTCTATTGTGAATGCAAGGCTTAAAAATATATTGAATCTTCTCAACATCACCGTATCAGGCCTGCCATTTAATCAGACAGATTGCTGCCCCTTCCTTTGACATTCATTTTGATTAAAATTTGAAACATTCAGACCTATTTAACCTGTCCGAATCAAGCCAGGAAGGTGGAAATTTTTTTTGTACAAATCATTCTTGTTAACAACCAAGGTTTCAACCCAAGTGCATTTAGATAATTTTGATGATAATAACATATTAATGTGAGAATTTGACAATATACTTGAGTGTGCTCATTTAGGGTGTGTTTGGATAGTATTAGTTATGAGAGAAAAGAAAAGAAAAGAAAGGATAGTATTAGTGAGAAAAGAAAAGAAAAGAAAAGAAAGGATAGTAATAATTTCTATTTGTGTTTGGATAGACAGGGAGAAAAGAAAAGAAGTGATAGTTATTTTTGTTTGGATAAGATAGAGAAGAGAAAAGAAAAGAAAGGATAATAGACAAATTACTTTTTTACCTTTTCATAACCATGGGACTTGGATGGAATAATAAATCTGTGTATTGATTTGTGGAGGCTAATTTTGGTATTATCAAAATACCACTAAAATCACTATCCTTTCTCTCACTATCTCTCCCTATCTTCTCAATTTTGAGGAGAAAGCAAATAAGAGATAAGGAGGGATAGCTATCCCTCCCTATCTCTCCTTATCCTTCCCTATCCCTCCACTTAAGTTACCCAAACACAAACTTATACTATCCTCTCTTTTCTTTTCTCTCCCTATCCCTCCAAATCAACCCTACCAAACACACCCTTACAGATCATACACATTACTCAAGTATTCAAAGCTCATGTGAACCCATGGAATGAGATGATGCTGACATGAAGGTCAAGAACATGGGTAGTTTAGGTTGAGAGACCCAATTGGCAAAGCAACTCCGGCGACCATGAACACCGACGAGACTCGAGAGCTTGTTCGATTTTAAGTTCTCACCAAACGCCGGACTTCAATGCCGTCGAATTTATGGCTGTGTAGTCGCCATCGAATCTGCGTCGAATCTGCTCTCCGGGGCTCTGCGTCATCGCCGACATCTTCTTCTGCTTGCCGTCACGTGCGAATTAGGTATCTTCAACGCGATCTTGAACGTTGAATACGACCAATTTCACTTAATTGGTCCTATAATTACAGTTTCTCAAGCAACTCCGCCACTTCCAATCCACAACCCACAAGCCAGTGGTACCTTGATTCGCAGCTATGCCGGCATCGGTGCTGACCTTGTTCTCTCCATGAACGCCGGTGAGAGCTTGGAACTGAGCTTCGGAGTGGGTTGGCTCCGAGTTGAATCAAAACTCATGAAAGAACAGATCTAAGTCACACAATTTCGCGTGAAGCTCTGGGATCAATCCGTGTCGTCCCTTTGACGCAATACTTCAGTTCACAAATCACTGCCCTATAAACCAAGAATTTTGTTGCGCTGGTAGAGGTGGCAGCAGAGGAAGCGCGCCGACCACCGCCACTGTGGCTCCTTCCACCCTCTCTCCTTTTTCATTTCGATTTCTAATTTATAATATATATATATATATATATATATATATATATATATATATATAACAGATCAAAATCAAAATTCTAATATTAATTCAATTAGGTTCAATTGCAAATTAATGAGGTCCAAAATCATTCAATCGCAAATATATACAGGCATCGATGCTCTCCCATGAACCAATTCACTTGGT